TGGCATTGGCGCTGTGATCATATCTCCTGAGGGCTGTCATACTCCATTCATTTCCCGATTATGTTTTAACTGCACCAACAATATGGCTTAGTATGAAGCGTGCATCATGGGTCTCCGAGCAGCTATTGACCTGAGGATTAAGTTCTTGAGTGTATTCGGAGATTCCACTCTAGTGATCAGTCAGATCAAAGGAGAGTGGGATATGAGGCACCCAAATCTTATTCCTTACAAAGAGTATGTACTGACGTTGCTCCCACACTTTGAGGAGATAACCTTTGAACACTTCCCGAAAGAGGAGAATCAGTAAGCAGACGCGCTAGATACCATGTCTTATATGTTCAAAGTCAGGTGGGACAATGAGGCTCCCCAGATTACCATTGAGAGGTTGGACGAACCCGCACATTGCTGTAATATTGAGACTGAAGAGGTAGCAGATAAACCCTGGTTTCACGAGGTAAAGAGGTATCTTGAGGCTCAGGAATATCCCGAGGGTGCATCTGTTAATGATTAGAAGTTTCTGAGGCGGTTTTCCGCAAAGTTCTTCATCAGTAATGGTATCCTTTACAAGCGCAACCATGACTCAATCTTACTGCGATGTATGGACAAGAATGAGGCAGAAAGGATCATGGCAGAGTTACATGAAGGTACCTTCGGAACTCATTCCAGTGGACATACCATGGCGAAGAAAATCCTACGGGCAGGATACTATTGGTCTATTATGGAAGCCGATTGTTATCAACATTATCGGACCTTTCATAAGTTCCAAGTCTATGCTGATAAGGTGCATGTACCTCCAGTCCCTCTGAATGTTTTGACAGCTCCTTGGCCTTTCGCAATATGGGGCATCGACATGATTGGCGAGATCATACCTACTGCGTCCAACGGGCATCACTTCATTCTGGTGGCTATTGATTATTTCACGAAATGGGTTGAAGCAGCTTCCTTTGCTACAGTAACCAAGAACGTCGTGGCGCGATTCATCCGACACAATCTGATCTGTCGATATGGTGTACTAGAGAGGATCATTACGGACAATGGTACAAATCTCAACAATACGATAATCACCGAGCTCTACAGACAGTTTAAGATTCAGCATCACGACTCTTCTCCTTACAGCCGAAGATGAATGGGGCTGTTGAAGCGTCTAATAAGAACATCAAGAAGATTGTGCAGAAGATGACGGTGACATACAAAGACTGGCATGAGATGTTACCATTCGCTCTTCATGGGTACCATACCTCAGCACAGACTTCGACAGGGGCAACACCATACTCTCTAGTGTATGGAATGGAGGCAGTCCTACCCATCGAAGTCCAGATACCCTCTCTCCATATTATGAAGGATGCAAGTTTGAGCGAAGATGACTGGATCCAAAACCGGCTTGATCAGCTGAATTTAATCGACGAGAAGAGACTTACTACTATTTGTCATGGTCAGACGTATCAAAAACAAATGATTAAGGCATTTAATAAGAAAGTCAGACAACAACAATATCAAGTCGGGGATCTGGTAATCAAACGCATCCTATTATCGCAAGGTGATCCTCGAGGCAAATGGACCCCCACTTACGAAGGGCCATTTGTGGTTAAGAACATTTTCTCAGGAGGAGCTATGATTCTAACCACCATGGATGGTGACGACCTTCCTCACCCCATCAATGCAGACATAGTGAAAAAATACTACGCATAATCAAAGACCCGCTAGGTTGACTGGCCTAGGCAAAAATAAGGGCTTCCCAGCTGAAACAACCGGCTGAAAATCATCAAACAATAAAGTCGCCATCGAACGTCTTTTATCCCACATGTAGGGAAAGGTAAACATCGAGAAAACCTGATGAGGGAGAAGTCACGGTCTTGCGACTGAGAGATCGGGTAAGGGAGTCTGTTACGCGAGGGGAAGGTATTAGCACCCCACACGCCCGTAGTACTCTACGGTATCCACTCTTGTTATCTATCTTATGGGTGTGTTTAATCTATGCTTACTGTCTATTATACTACTGGAGGAAATGCATGCAAAAGAAAAGAGAAAAGAATGTAGGGAAAATAAAATTGTGCTCGCTTGGGCCCTACCCCAATGCCTACGTATCCTTTTTGAGGAATCAGAGCTACCGTAGTTCGGCTCACATTTTTTTGTTTGTTTTGTGTTTTTTATGGATGAAGTTAATTCCGCCTTCTGCCGCAGCTCGACCTTTGGAGGCTTATGCGTTGGCACAGAAGTAAATTAATCATGTCCTTACCTGAAAGGGTTTAAAAGAAAAGGTGCTCGAGCGCACAAAAGATTTGAGTTTGTTTTGTATTTTTGTTGTAGATGATGACTGATTGACCTCAAGAGAGAGATATTAGCCATTCTTCTACTTAGCCGTGAAAGGAGTCTTTGAGAATTGAACCACACCTATGCTTGAGATGAAGAACAATAAGATCGAGAAGAGACTCGCTTATCATTTCCCGTACTAAGCAAAAGTATGATTCTCATCAATAGTTTTAAAGTATTTGAATTTTGAAAGAGAAAGTTTTAGTTTTAGGTGCGAATGCAAAAGGGAAAGAAAAGTTAAAGGGGAATTAGCCTATTTCTAAACCTAATGTTATTGTGCGTTAGTAGCCATAAGATTTAGGTTAAAGGGGAAATTTCTACCTGATATTAGTATGCATGAGTTTGAAAGCCTAATGTCTACTTTTAGTTCAATTAAATCGAAGATTAAATTTGAACCAAAATCTCCTAAAGAATCATGAAATAATATACGAATAAGTAAAATTAGGCAGCAAGTATCAGGATATCGCATACAATCCATAAAAATTGCGAGCGAAACACATGACATAAAAATGAGTAAAACTAATGATTAAAATTGAAAAGGAAAAGTGAGAGAATTGAAAAGAAATCTCTTTTATTTACCAATATTTCCAAAGAAAATAAATCGCCAAAATTAACCGCAATCGAAATGAGTATGGGAAATAAGATCTCAGGAGGTGCGAACTAAATTCACTATGTGCTGCAAAAAAAAGCAATGACATTAGGCCCCATCAAAAATGGACACAATCAGCAAGAAAATAAAAATAATCATGATCCAAGAATTGACTAGTTTGGCCCATTCCATCACTAATTCCTCTTACAACAAAAACCCATATTTTTTATATTATTTTCAGCATATTATTATTATTATTATTATAGAAAATATAAAATAATAAAACAATTATATTGTTTCAGCATATTATTATTATTATTAAATAAATATAAAATAATAAAACAATTATATTGTTTCAGCATATTATTATCAAATAAAAATATAAAATAATAAAACGATTAAATTAAATAAAAAAATATGAAGTTGGAAAGGGATTTTTAGGGTTAGAAGAAAAGTCTCTTCTCCCTTTCTTGCAAGCGGCGGCCTCCATCCCTTCTCTTCTTCGCCGCTTCATAACCATTATCGCCGGAAAAGACCCATCCCTCCATCTTAGCTTTCCATTTCGTCTTCCATCTCATCATCATCTGAACGCCTCTGTCTCCGATCTCGGGCCATTCGGTACTCAATCAAGCTTTTATCTTTCTCTTCTCCCTACTTCAATTGAAACAACGCCGCCGTATCTATAGCTTCTTACCACGTTTCTACTTGTCAGCAACTGTCGGAGCTGCTCCGACTGTATTTCAACGGTGACGTTTGTAAGAAAACCAGAGGTTAATTCTTTAATCTGATCTTCTTCCTGTGAATTGGATGCTCTGTGTTTTCGGTTGTGCTGCGCTTTTAGTTGTTACCGAGAATCGCAAATTATAATGCATTGTTGAAGCAATTCTAGAAGTGGTGTTGACATATGTTTTCTGTGATGCATATTGAAGTTTGATGAAAGATTAAGTTTATGGATTGATGATTGATTGCAATGATGGTTCTTCAAAATTTGTGGAGGTTTGCAGAATGAATCAGAGAAAACGAGAGATTTTGTAGCTCTGAGTTTTTTGTGATGCTTCTCAATGATTGAAGAATTGATGATGATGAAGCTACGTGAAGATTGCAGATAGAGGGGAAGATTGAAGTTCTTTGTGGATTTTTTGGAGATTCCCCAAGATGAAGAATGGTGAAGATAAAGTAAAAGGAGAATAAAGAGTTTCTTGGAGTTTTCTGTGCGATTCTTCTGCAAGTTGAGAGGTAATAAAATCTTTTTTTCTGTGTTAAGATCATATCTATTCTGTTCACCCTTATGCATATGCTGTGTACTCTATTTATATATATGCTGAAAGTTTGTTATGGTTGGTTAAGAGGTTAGAAATTCTGTTAGGTGGTTAGGAGGTGGGAAAAAAGTTGGTTATAGTTAGAAGTTAGGGAAAAGTTAGAAGTTTGTTATGTTATTTTCTGTTGCCAGTCAGTTGAGTTAGTTATGGGTAGTTGTAAACTGTGAGAATTTCTGTTAAGGGGATTTGGTTAGTTTGCTGGTTAGTTCATCAATTTGAGCCAACTGAGAAAGGGGTTAGCAAACACCAGCAAAAACTAGTGGTTGGTGGAAACTTGGGTTAAGCCATATAAAAAACTGTTGGTGAAGTTTATAGTTATGTAAAAGAAACTAGTTAGTAGATTGGATTGAATATTGACGCTTGAAAATAGGGTGGACTGTGGATGATATATATGTTCTTTGATTTACTATCCTTGTTTTGTATGGCTGAATTTCGATGCACGTGAACTTGTTTTGCACAGACTCATTTTGCATTTATTCCGAACTTGATCTCAGTGCTGAACTATAGCATGGATTGAAGTGCATCAGTGATGTTTTTCCTTTTCTTGCTTTGGATACTTGAATTGGTTGCTTCCCTTTTGGATTGTTTATTGGACTGACGACAATTTCCATTCTGTTTTTTTCAGGAATATCATCTTTAACAGAAACTGGTTTTTGATCAAGGGATGAAGAAGACTTTTTACCATCGTTTCCGCAATCAAAGCCATCAACATTAGATGAAACAAGTTCTCCAGTAATAATCTTATCCAAGAAAAGCCTCTCAAGCTCCGTGTGTTCTTGATTCTATGATTTCTTCTTGTGAAACTCTAGATTATACTCTTCAAACTCCATGGAACTACGCTCTAGCTTATAGAACAGACTGCCACAAACTCTCATGTTGTCTATGTCTTCAAAATCAAGTTCACCATCAACATCCGTGGAATGAGAATCAAGGGATTCATCAATGACATGCTGACCACAAGAAATATCTTCTGATGCAGGCAAATCCCCTTGTCGCCAGGCTTGTGCCACCACAGACGAGACCCCCCAAGCATCATGGTCGACAAGCTCAATGTCAAATCCACTCGAGGGGTGATTGAAGTTGGACAAAAACGGCGAAAGATGAAGGCTGCTACTAGAATTATACTCAGAAGGTGGGTCGGATAGTGTTCTGGCAGAAGCACCATCATCCTTATTGGGAACGGTAGTGAGAGAGTTGCAGCATAAATTGAATGCACTCAACTTCACTATGAAACGTTGATTGTGTATGGAAGCGGCCTTTCTTGCAAGCATGGACAACATTATGAGTACAAGCAGCTGTAATAATGCTTTTTGCAGACTAAAATGTGAACAATGCTCACAGAAGCAAAGCATCAAACAGTTGGCGTGTACTCAGTGAAGCTTAACACAAAATTGATACCGATAGAAGTAATTGAATAAGAAGTATCTCTGGAGAGAGGTTTAATATGGTAGAATGTTGATGGCGTTTACTTGTTCACCCTAGGTTTGAAAAAGTTTGGCTTTCGTACTATATAGGTATCATAAATAATTGTTAGTATAGATAGATTATTAGGTATTACTAATAAAATAAGTATATAATATAATATAAAAAAAAACACGCAGACGAATTTTAATACTGGTAGCGAAATTGCATAGGTAGTAGCACAGTAAGACGTTGGATATGGAAGATGGTAAGCGAGGAACGATTCTGATAACAAACGACGACGGGATCGACGCTCCCAGATTAAGAGCTTTAGTTGACTCATTAGTCAACACTAATCTTTTCAATATCCTTGTATCTGCTCCCGATTATATGAGCACTAGAACAACGATGTCTTGGACCCCTTCTCAATAGATGATAATGACTATGGCCTTAGGAATTCTTTGCAGATAAATATGAAAGATGAGACATGCGAATACCTTGATATGGAATGAACCTCAGGTAGAGTGCTGACAAGCTCAAATACGAAAATGTGTAGACCCTGATTTTTAGCTTCATCTCATAAAACCTTGCAACTTGACATTGAGAAGAAAAGAATAGCATCGTAGCTTGATGATGATAAGGTCCATGACATGAAAACCTAGCTTCAAACAAATTATTAATGGAGAAATCAACCGAAACAAGCTTGTGCGAAGATGGGAGCCTTAAAGCCATACACCAACCCTTATTCCTCAAAGTCCATGATCTTATGGCAATTTATCAATTAATGATGCATGATGTGTTAGATGACCTAATGTGAGAAAAATGCAAAAATGCGTAAGCCAGATAAAAGTAAAAGGGTAGGACAAATTTGGGGTATTACAGCTGCCCCTATTTAATTGTCTTAAACCTGAAAGTACGATTGGCACATGCCTTTCGGAATTTCAAGGTTGAAGATGATTAAATATCAATGCCAAAAATTTGTCCTGAGGGAGAATGAGTGTTTTCTTTATTTATTTATTTTGCGATCTGCCGGGGAAAAGAAATTTGTTTTTTTTTCAATGAAGAGACAGAGACTGGACTTGTAACATGGCTTGATGCCAATACAAGACAAATGGTTGGTATGAAAAGACAGCGGACGAGGTCTACGGGCGACCTATGATCCCAAGGGTGACACATGAGAGTGATTTGACAGAGAACCTAGCCAAAGGGCAATCTCAGGTTCGACGAAGGTTTGAAGGAAGAACCTAGCCAAGAGGCGATCTCAGGTTCGACGAAGATTTGAAGGAAGAACCTAGCCAAGAGGCGATTTCAGGTTTGGAGAATGGAACATGGGTTATGACATGATGATTGTTTAGATAAGCGACACGGATGAGCATCAAGAAAGTTTAAACACAGACGAGTGTTTGAATCAATACGGACGAGTATTGAAAGGAGATACGGACGAGTATCAAAAGTTAAACACGGACGAGTGTTTGATTCAATACGGACGAGTATTGAAAGAAGATACGGACGAGTATCAAAAGGTTACACACGGACAAGTGTTTGATTCAATACGGACGAGTATTGAAAAAGGATACAGGTGAGCATCAAAAGTATAAACACGGACGGGTGCTTGATTCAATACGGACGAGTATTGAAAGAAGATACAGGTGAGTATCAAAGGTATAAACACGGACGAGTGTTTGAATTAATACGGACGAGTATTGAAAGAAGATACGGACGAGTATCAAAAAGGTAAAAACACGGACGAGTGTTTGAATCAATACGGACGAGTATTGAAAGAAGATACGGACGAGTATCAAAAAGTTACACACGGACGAGTGTTTGATTCAATACGGACGAGTATTGAAAGAAGATACGGACGAGTATCAAAAAGTATAAACACGGACGAATGTTTGATTCAGTACGGACGAGTATTGAAAGGAGATACGGACGAGTATCAAAAGGTTACACACGGACGAGTGTTTGATTCAATACGGACGAGTATTGAAAGAAGATACGGACGAGTATCAAAAGTATAAACACGGACGAGTGTTTGAATAACTGACCCGATGGTTGTTTAGGAAACTTGACACATACGAGTGCTTAGGAATGGACACGGATGAATGTTTAGGAATAGACACGGACGGGTGTTTAGGAATAGACACGGACGAATGTTTAGGGAACCGACTACCAGACAAGAACTGGGTTTAGAACGGCAAAGTGTATTGATTTTGTTTGGCATTGAAAAGGTGAAGGTCACTGATTGGGGATTTTGGGCATGATACCCTTCTGTAGGGACGTATTGTTGTCCTTGAATAATTCAGGTCTTTCGTGTAAGGTACCCGGTCTGGCTTATGCTTTGTATGCATGTTTGAATTTCTTTTGACGCAAAGATCCACTCTGATGGATCAGCTACGCACTTTTGAGGATGCAATGTTATGTAATGATAACTATATGCAATGCGAAGAAATAAACTTCGTGGGGATAAAAGAAGGCTTGTTGGGAACCATTGCTCATCACTGGGGATGTTAGTATATACCGGTGTTGGAAGCCTGCAATACCAAAGATTGCTGGGGACACTGATAAGAGTACACACTGGGGAGCTCTTGAAGACCAAAGATCATTGTTGACTCTGCTGAGGATTGAATTGTTGACGAAGCGAGTCTTCAGGTACGATGCTGGATTCTGAATCATACCGTTGAAGGAAGAGATAATCTGACCAAACCTCCATACATCCCGAACTGTTGAGGGGGTGACATAAGTGAATATGCTGAAGAATGGATACTGAACACCATGTGGATCCCTTTGAATACATGTTCCAAGTTTACGCACACTGGGGAATTGTTTCTTGAATCACTTGGGGATAAGAGATGAGCGTGGGCACCTACGAGTTCCCCGGTTGAACTCTGCGAATGCCCTGGTTTAGCTTTGCGAATGCCCCGGTCTGGCTTCGCGAATGCCCCGGTTTAGCTCTACTGGGGATGCTCTTGATTAACCCCACTGAGGATGCCCTTGCGCATGCTGAGTTAAAAGACGATTCTAGACCTTCTGAATTCACTTGGGGAATCAGACCCGAAGTTGCCTGTAGTAGATGGAGGCAGTTTCACGTGCTGGCGGGGTTAGGGTGACTGTCGTAAATTGCTACCTGCAAGGAAAAACAACATTCGGAGTGCATATGACATCCCCACATGGTTATACATTGACGTGACGTCAAGTTTTATCTTGGCGTGAGAATTTTTACTCCCCATGTTTCTAATGCCATGTTTAATTATCAAATAAAACATATTCTGTATACAAAACATTTTATGATAATAAGAGGCAACTTTGATGAAAACAAATTTTATTGATTGGCCTGTGAATAGGCATTCGTACAAGGAAGCAACTCCTATATGAGGTAGCTGCAAAATAGAAACGAAAAAAGTACAACAGGCGTAAATGGCAATGAGAGATGCTCGAATTTCCATTAAAACCGGTATTGCTACAGTTCCCATATCCTAAGTTGTCTCAATGCCTTGCCTCCGAAGAGTAGTAGTTGGATCGGTCAATTCGCTGCCAAGGTGCTGTAGATGTGTGCGTTTCATTTGTGAAGAGCATTCAGACTGCAGCCTCTCGCTTAAAATCCCTAATTTTTGCTTGGATCGCCCTTTCAGGTTTTCGACCCAACGGGATACCCATTTTTGCCTAAGTCGCCCTTTCGGGTTTTCGACCTAGCGGGTTGTTATTTTTTCATTTTATCCCTAACTTTTTCCTGGGCTTTTGTGCCCACCGGGATGCCCATTTTTTGCCTAAGTCGCCCTTTCGGGTTTTCGACCTAGCGGGTCTTTTTATGCGTAGAATTTTTTGACTGAGTCTGAATTGACTGGGAGCGGAACGTCTCCCCCATCCATATCTGTCAGGATTAAGGCACCTCTTGAAAAATCTCTCTTCATGATGTATGGTCCCTCGTAATTGGGAGTCCATTTGCCCCTTGGGTCGGAATGGCTTTGTATGATGACCCTTCTTAGGACCAGATCACCAGGATAAAACTTTCGAGGACGAATCTTTTTGTCAAATGCTCTTTTCATTCTCTGTTGGTACAACTGGCCATGACAGATGGCTGCCAGCCGCTTTTCATCAATCAGATTGAGTTGGTCGTACCTCGTCTGAACCCACTCTGCCTCATCAAGCTTGGTCTCCATCAGCACTCTTAACGAAGGAATTTCTACTTCGACAGGGAGCACAACATTAGTGCCGTAGACAAGTGAAAATGGGGTTGCCCCTGTCGAAGTGCGCACAGATGTCCTGTAGCCATGTAGAGCAAAAGGCAACATTTCATGCCAATCTTTATACGTTCTGACCATCTTCTGGACGATCTTCTTTATATTCTTATTAGCAGCCTCAACTGCACCATTCATTTTTGGTCGATAAGGTGATGAATTGTGATGTTCGATCTTGAATTCTCCACACAATTCTTTCATCATGTTGTTGTTAAGATTAGAACCATTATCAGTGATGAGTCTATGAGGGACTCCATAACGGCATATGATTTCCTTCCTGATGAAATTGGTGACAACCTGTTTGGTTACATTCTTGTAAGAATCTGCTTCTACCCATTTGGTGAAATAGTCGATAGCCACTAGGATGAATCTATGACCGTTCGAAGCACTTGGTTCAATCCTTCCAATCATATCAATTCCCCACATTGCGAACGGCCACGGGGAGGTCATAACATTCAGCGGGGTTGGAGGAACATGAATTCTGTCTGCATATACTTGGCATTTGTGGCATGATTTCGTGTATACACAACAGTCGCTCTCCATTGTCGTCCAGAAGTATCCTGCTCGTAGGATTTTCTTTGCCATAGAATGCCCGCTTGAATGAGTCCCGAAAGAACCCTCATGGATTTCCCTTATGATCG